CCGCCCCCGCCTCCCGCGCGGCGCCCCTCGCCCTGCCCGGCGGCGAAGCCCCGCGGGAAGGCGGCCCTCTCGCCGCTTCGGACTGCGCCGCGCCCGGACTGGGCCTGGGCCTGGGCCGGGGCCGGGACCTGGGGCCGGGCACGGGCACGGGCACGGGCCCGGGGCGCCCTCCCTCCCAACGGCCGGGCTGGCATCCCACGGCGGGCTCTCTGGGGGCCATCCCTCCCTGGCGCGGCGAGCAGAGCGGCGGTCCGCAAAGCCCAGCATGCTGGCTGCGCGGGGCGCAGGCCGCTTTCCGCCCGGGCCGGCCCGGCGGCGCCCTCGGGCTACGGATCTGCCCGCGAGAGCTGGCGGCGGCCGCCTGCTGGATGGCCCCCGATTCTTGGGGAAGAAGGCTGGCCGGGACTCCACCCGCAGAGGCAGTGTGTCCGTGCGCCAGTGGCTGGGGAGCATGGGTGTGGGGGTGCTGTTTTACCCATGCGCTGCAGGTGGGCTGGTCGGCCTCGGTGAACAGAAGCTGTTGTTATAATAATAATAATAATAATAATAATAATAATAATAATAATAATAATAATAATATAATAAGCTGGGCTGGATGGACCTTGACCATCTTAGGACTGTTCCCCTTGGCACATTTATGCCCCCCAGGCAGTGGTGGCGGTCCAAGCCTGGCCTTAAGTCTGGTCCAAAGTCCCCCTCATGCTGACTGGTGGGGATCTCAAAGAAGGGGCTACCCCAGGGGTGTAGACTCAAGACTCAGCTTGTAGAGTGCCCACTATTTCAACAAGGAAGGCCTAGCCAAGGGTAAGGTAGAACTTCTCCGTTGATCTTTGCTGGGACATTTGCCATTAGAAATCTTTCTTGGGTACCTTAGTTACAGCTTCTGTTTACTTTTTGTTCCAGTTCCCATGTGGTTAATGGGGGTTGGACCTGCCTTCCCTCCCTTTGCACTAGTACATTGTGAGATGGCTTCTAATTCCCCAGCTTCTCATGTAGTTCCCTCCATGAAATGAGCAACCGGTGTCACGGTTTTAGCTGTGTAGGGGTGGTACTTTGAGAACTGGGATTGCTGTTTCTCTGTCAAAGTGGGACCTACCGCAAAATGTTGCAATGTGTGGCGCCTCTGTTGGAGTTAATGGTCATCTAGTTGTGTTTTCTCTTCCGTCTTTCTGTTCTCCTGTCCACTTACTCTCCAGTACCCAGGCAGCTAGCATTCAGGGTTCGCCAAATGTGATCATTCTGCACTGGACTGTTCTGGAGGCCTCCACCCAGTTGTGGCTTGCTTTGTTTTTCTGCAGATCTTGCAGTCTTCCAGGCCTGCTGATACATCCCTCTTGTGTGTAGGTGATGGCATTTTGACTTACTTCAGTGCCACTTGTAGAATTGATTTGCTGTTAAAAGAACAGCCTTAACGACCCGGTGCCCTAATAATAATCAATTATTATTAATTTCATTTGTATACCGTTCCATAACCAAAGCTCTTTGGGCAGTTTACAACAATACAATATAAATACCATTTTTAAAGAACCTATATGTAGGACTCCCAACACCCTTTGTTCCCTGCCAACATTGGTCAGGAATTATGGGAGTTTAATCCAAAACATTTGGAAGCATCAGGTTGCCATCTCTTGACCTTTTAAGGAGAAATGTCAGGGAGAACTATGTCACCCAGAACTCCTTGAACGGAAAGTGAAATTTAAATGTAATAATCCGGCTGGTAGTGGTGCTGCTGAATCTCATTTAGGGGTTCTTATCCCAAACATCAATACCATTTTAGCCAGAATGCTAAAAGCTGAACAAGGGATCTTAGACAAACAAAACTTATTACAGAGGTCCCCAATAATGGTGGTATATAAAATTTGGTTGGCACACTATCCTGTTAAATTGTTCACTTAGTGTACGGAATCCTTGAATAGAAGCTAAGTTTCCCCTTTGTGAGATTCTATCTATTATGATTCTGCCACACAGCAGTTTAAACTAACTTTTGATTCTGGTAGCATGAGATTAGGAAAGGTCGGGAAGTGCTGCAAAAACAGAAATAATTGCTGCAGTTACAGGAAGTTCATTAGCTGATCAAAAAGCAGATTTACTCAAATGTTCTGTCTGCACTAGTGCAGTAATCACTGGGATTTTAAATTGAATGTAGGACATAGTAGAAGTGCAGAAAAGCAGAAAAAAACTGGTAAACATCATGACAGGCTTGTTAAATTCAGAAGGGCAACATGAGTAGGTGTCACTGATGTAAGGGTACCATTTCTGCAGTTTACAGTGTCTACAAGCCTAAGGCCTCTAATTGAATATTAACTGCAGCCTCTTGCTTTCACTCAGTGTCCTCAGATATGAGTGGTACAAATTAGATGGGCCATGTGTTTCAGTTTCATGCAGGCAGAGCTGCATTGGTTGATGAGGATACTGTTTCCCCACCAAGGTTTCTCACCCTGTAGTCTTCCAGTTATGAGTGTGTGTATCTGAAGGTGGGCACTTGGGAAGGATAAGGATTCTGGGGGTGTAGCATCCACCCCACAGCTCAATAGTCTCCCTAGCTGCAGAGATCTCAGGGTTGTTGGGCTGAGGCTACCTGGCCAGGAGCGGCTCAGGACATCATGGCTACCATGGGTCTGTCCCAGTTAGTATCTGGCCCCGCTCATTTGGCAGGGCATACTTTGAATTTGGTTTTCTGCATAGGGTGGGATGGGGGGCATCAAGGAACTTTCTATACAGTTGTCACGGACAGATCACTGTCTGAGGGTGGGACAGACTTGTTGGGACTCCATTTCTGCAAAGGTAGAGGACTGGTTGAGAGCTGGATTCTAGTCCCCACTCAACCATGGAGCTAACCGAGGGAATTTGGGCCAGCCATACCTCTTTGATCTCCAGAATGCCCAGGGAATCTCTATTGGCATGGAGAATCCATAGAAGTTTTGGGAACCAAGGTGGTCAGTTTCTGAGCATCTTATTACTTGGACTGTGGGGACACACTTCCTCTTCTGTTGTGGTTACCCCTGAGAGACTCAGATTAGAAAACAATGTAATAAAATTACTGGAGTAGAACATCTGAAACAGCCTCCAGAGGTATAGCTGTGCCGGTTAGCCTCAGACCGAACAATGAAGTCCTGTGCCACCTCAAGAACTAGTGAACTACAGCACAGGGCCTGGTGTCTCCAGTGTGGGCCCTGCAGTCATCTCTTGGGGGACAGCCTGGCTGCCAGCCCCTCTCCTCCCAATTTGTATTTTATTTCATTCCTAGGCATCCTTTATGGGATGCAGGTGGTGCAGTGGTTTGTGCTGCTGGGCTGGTTGAGCGAAAGGTGGTCGGTTCGAATCTGCACAACGAGATGAGTTCCCATTTGTATTTTATTTCATGTGTATTTGTATTTTATTGTATTTGTGTTTTATTTCATTCCTAGGCATTCTTTAATTGGGAGGCTTACAAACTGCAAAGCAAAGTGCTGGCTTCTAGTGCCATCTTTATTTCTAGGAATGGCTCTGGACTGTAGCTTAGCACTTACAACTCTGCCCACCTGCTAGAAAAAAGGAAACATTGAGCCTACTTGTAGCAGGGCATGCCCTGGAGAGCAAGGGGCTGAGTTGTGTTGTGCTTCCCCTCTCTGTGTGTATGCACTCATGCAGGTGGCTGTTAGCTTTTTTTGTTTGTGTATGGGGTGCACTTTGTCTATGGGGCTCAGACTGTATTTGTTCCTTTTGGCCAGTTTCTTTGCTCTTTCAGTGGTGATTCTGGTGTCGGCAAAGTGCTGCCCACAGTATGTATGCATGCATTTATTTATTTAGGAGACTTCTATGCCGCCCCATTTGCCGAAGCCTCGGGGTGGCTCACATCCATAAATAAACTTCCATATTATTATATAAATTAACAGTATAAATTAAGTCGCCCTGGCCAAGTAGCTGGCTTGAGGGATGCTGTGGGCAGCGGTGCGGCACTGTGTGGAGAGAATGCTGGACCTGGGCTGACCCAGCAGGGCCCTGACCATGCGCCCATGGATTTTTGGAGCGTAGAGCCCCGCTCTCGCATTGATTTAGCTAAGTTCTTGGGCAACTGTGATGCAGCCACCAGGGTGGTTGGCCACGGTCACTGACTTGAGAACCCTTGCGTGGACTAGGTCACCAGGTTCACTCCATGTTATCTCCAGAGAAGTATGAGTGAGCAGGGGACATCCACCCAGCTGCCACCTCAAGCAAGCCATACTAAGCTGGGTGGTTCAGGAATCTGACTAAGCAGAAATCAAGTTCACACACCAATAATTGCCCTTTTCCTCCACTGTGATCCAAACGGGAGAAATGGGTAATCACAAGATAATTAAAACAATTATCTTCCTAAACTGTACTGAACACCTAATGCCACCGAAGAGAACACCATGTACCAGTATTTTATTTTTAAATGCAGAAACTGCACTTATTCATGAAAGAAATTTGGTCTTCTGCCAACATAGTCTTCTGCAGCTTTAGTCCCATGGAAACCAGTGGCAGAGTTGTACACGAGGCCAATTTGCTTTGTGTGTGCTCATTTGGACACACTTTGGCAATGCAAATGTGTTCAGAACCCAGCTCTGGGCAGGGACTATGTGTAATTTCTGTCTTTTGTGCCACTGACAGCACTAGGATCTTATGTTAAACATTAGCCATGCTTGTGTTTATGGTGGCCACATTCACAGTGGTTCATGGAGGGGGAGGCTTGTCTTCCTTTTACTGGAATGTTCCATGCTGACTTGAGTTTATGGAGGGTTTGTTCCAGATTCATACTCATTATTGGTACAGGAATGCAGATAAATCAGTACTTGGCTGCTTGTACTAGGAGCCAATCTGTTTATGGCCCAGTTAAACTGCCATTTTTTGTCCTGGAGGCCCTAACTGGCTTGATGCCAGGTTACCTGAAGAAATGCCTGACTGTATTTCCTACTTGGAACTTAAGGTCAGATGCACTTCTCCAGATCCCTCCCCCGCCATCAAAATATTCTTCCAGGGAGGGCAGTTCCATCAGTACTATCCCATTGATGAAATGCTTTTCCACTGAGCCTTGCCTGGCACCTATATTATATTTCTGCGAGCAGGTGATGAACTGGTTATTTCCCTAGATCTGTAGTTGTTGTTTCAGTGCTCTAAGATTTGTACACTCTTTTATTCTTGCCACCTGCTTTACTATGTGCTCTTTCATTGTCCTTGTCTGATTAAAACACATGCTAGCTGAACACAGCCCAGAACTGTGGGTATTGTTCTAAAAATGTAATAAATAAGCTTCCTGTTACATCCCAATTACTGATGAGAGTTTTCCAAAGAATGCAAAACGCAATTAGACAGCTTTTCTTTAACCATTGTAGTAATTAGATAATCTGGTAATCAGTGTAGGGAGCAGGGGTGGAAGGCTTCTGTACGTAATTCATTTCTTGAGGGAACTGTACTTGCTTCCTATTTCTTACCAGGCTGGATTTAAGGGTTTTTGACCAGTTAAATAAAGTCCTAAAAATTGAGACCAGAATGCTTGAAAGAGTGCCTTCTCCTTTATCCACCTGCCCTATCACTGAGGTCACCAGATGAAACGGGATTCATACAGAACAGATTCTTCACTGTAGTGTCTCCCTTTCTGTGGATCTCCCTGCCTGGGGGTGTGTGTGGTTTTTTGTGCCTTCTGAAGACCTATTCATTTCAGGAGACCTTCCTTGATCAAACAGCCATAAATTGGTTTTCTGTCTTTAAAAAAACTTTTCATATGTCGCTTTATTTTCTAAGTTTTAATGTGGTATTTTTTATTCTCATTATTACAGTGGAGGCCCATGTGTTTGACAAAAGACTGCTCCTAGCAGTTGAAACCTGTTTCTTAAAGCAGATCAAAACAACAGCCTGGATATTTGACTGTCCTTCTGGGAGTGGCTATGGAGACTTCCATGATGACATCCATGAGTCAAAATTTACCTGTACATCACTGGAAAGACTCCTGCTAGTTATTCCTGAGGTATATTAAGCACCTGTCTGACTTGGTAACGAGCCACTGCCTAATTATGCTAGTCAAAATAGATTTTTAAAAATACTGCCTTTATGTTGGATTAGCTTTCTGTTTAAAATTACAATGATCTCTAGTTCACACAAAATGACAACCCAGAGTATGGGTTGTTAGTTTCTGGATTATCAGTTAGATGCAAACCTGGAACTATAGGTTTAACCACAAACAACTTTGATGTGTTGTTGAGTTGTGAACACTGGGTTCCATTAATTCTGAGTTGTTGCTGTTTTGTGCAAGCTAAGAACAATGGTTTGCCTGTGGACTGTTTTACCAGGTTATAGAGTTGGTGGACAAGAGTGGTACCCCCCCCCCCCCCCGCAAACCTCTCTGTGTCGCAGGACCACAAAGGAATTTGGGATACAGGGAGAGAATGAGTAAAAAGAATCAAACAATCCAGGAACTGGAAAAACCACCTGTACTTTGAGTGATCATCTGGCAGACAAACCATGGGTAAGCCCTGGGTAAGGCAACAAACTACACTCTGGGTTATCATTATGTGTAAACAAGGTCAAGAATCAGGATCAGAAGAGTATCTTTAACATTCTTTCTGTCATAATTGCTATTTTACTGATAAAATCTGTAATGATTTGTAAACAAGGTCATGTTATTTTGTATAATCAAAGATTTACAATGGAGTGTCTAAGAGGTTCAGTCAAGAGTTTACAGATGCTTTTGAAAAAAGTGCTGCCATTTGCAGAAGCATAACATCACCTAATTCAGATGGAACAAGAAAGACAAAGCTGGGCATGGTCATCAGCATACTGATGGCACCTTTCCCCAAATCCAGTTTCGTATAAATATTAAATGGCATGGGGCCCCACAGCACAACGGGCAAGGGGCCTAGCAGAGATCAGCCTTTGCTACTTTCTAGGACCAGCGCCTCCAGCTTCCATCACACTGAGCTGCTCCAGGATACCATGATTAATGGTATCAAAGGCTACTGAGAGATCATGAGGAATTAACAGGGTCACACTCCCTCACCTGATCCCAGTCATCAGTCAGGGATCAAGTGGGCATAGTCATCACACGTTTCCAGGTCCAGGGCAGGCCTCTCAAGGAGAAAGTGGAGCTGGTACCACCCCTTCCACAAGGTAGCACCAATTTCTGTACCTGCCCAGCTAGGCTCCTCTGAGTAACTCTTACCAGCGACAATAGGGAAGGGGTGAGATGATATGGCCACGCCAAACAGGTTCAACTGGACCCAAGAGTGGCCACCTGGAGAAGTGCCTTTTCTACTACACTGAAAGTTCTTTCTTGAATTGGGCCATAAAGAACCACCAAGAAAATTACATCCACTGGCCTACATACCAGGCTGGTTGATAAGAGAGTTGCTGTCTGATACATCTAAAAGGCACCAGATTGGGGGTGACTCTTGATTTTGTTTTTGAAGTCATATGATCAGTGCTTAATGTTCCAACAATGACTCCTTTTTGAGTAGTTTTGAGCACGTAACAGAGGCAGATCTTTTGAAATTTAGCCCCTGCGGACACCGCAGGATGGAAAGTTACAGCAGGTTGTAGCAACTTAGGCTGGGAAGAGAATTTCCTATTGCAGTGGCATGAAGAACATCACCCTATTTTTAACTTGAGTGCACAAGAAGCTCTTTTCACAACTGTCAGCTTCTCTCATGCATGGATACAAGCTAACCCAAGGGAATACTTAAGGTCTTTACATCTGGCAGTATCATTTAATCAAAAAGTTATGTTGGGAAAATCAAAATGCAAGGGTACCAGTACTAATAAATGCTGCAAATGTCGGACACTTCTTCACGCAGAAGCCGTTGGATTCATCATCTTTATGAAGTCCTGTTTTCACGGATGTCAATGCTTCTGAAGTAAACATGGTTGAAGATTGACCTAACCTTGGTGGTTCTCAACTCTATGTGGGCTTACTACCCAAGAGAAACATTCTGAAAACTTTTTCAGAGTTAGCATTCGGCCTGCTATCTCATCAGTCTGGTCTGCAAGTCAAAACAGGAGGCCCAGCTGTAGCCACTTCTGTGCCCCGGCATGTAGATCAAACTGGGAGAAAAGCTCACAGGATGTTACAGTGCTGGGGAAAGCCTAGAATGGAGCAGGAAAAGTAGGGATAGAGATTTCCAAAGAGCCACAGCACCCTCAATTACATCAGTCTTTCTGGGAAGATGAGGATTATGCTGGCATTGTGCTTTTTAGTGAGAAAATAAATATTCAGTTCATGTCTACCTGAGGGTCAGACATATGTGGGCCTTCTTGTGGCTGCTCCCAGGAACAACCTGTCAAGGCAGGCCAGATTAGCTCGCTGCTGTAGGCAGACACTTTTATCCAGATGGTCTCTTAATCCTCAAATGGCCTCGTTGGTTGCTGAAATAGGGTTCAAGTTGTGAGTGCTATTTATTTTGTTAATGCGTTTTTTTACTGATGTGTTTGTTTTGTGACAATAGCAGAATTTGAGGTGGAAAAAGAGGATATATGTTTTAATAAATAAATAAAAATAATAACCAATCAGTTCTGCTATCGTGGTCAGTTTGGTGCCACTAAAGCAAGTGTTTATTGCTTCAAGTGGAAACAAAAGCACACATTATATCAAGACAGCACTCTTTTGCAAAACAAGAGGTAGATTAAAAGATTTGTATTTGTCATTATGAACCATACCCAAGGATGGACAACAAAAATTCTCCAGTAATCCAGCAGAACCCTAGAGTCAACAATGCAGAATTTTACCAATCAAGAGTTGTTTTACCACAGCAGTTCTTGGCCAGGAAGAAAGAACTGTGACTCCATTGTCACTTCCATCTTCAGCTCCATTATAACACAAAAACTTCCATATGCATTGGTCTTTAAGTTGGGGTTAGAGCTACACCCATCTTTAATATGGAAAAAATTGAGAAGCACCATACCTGACCCATAACAGAGATGGAGTATTATTTGGAAGTGTGACTCTTCCCCTAGGTCAGTGCAGCAAATACAAATCATTTCTGTCTTCTGGCATGTTAGCATGTTCTTTCTTTTACCTTCTGTGACTTAGGGAAGCATGCCCTGTTTCTCACCTTGCAATAATTTACTAGTAAAATCTTCAACCTTTCTTCTGAATCATTAATTTAAATGTAGAGATGATTGATGAATCACATCAACAGTTCCAATTCTGTAACTTCTTATTTTCAGTTTAGTTTTTTGAGTGTTCAGATAACTAGTTTCTTCAGAATTCTTCTTCGGTGTGTGGTCACTCCCATGCATTGTCAAATATGTATGACATGCTTCTTTTAGTATTCGCTGCTTCAGAATCTACTTCGATGTGAAGCAGTACTCATGTGTTGTAAATCTGCTAGCTGCTGATCACTGTCTGAGCCCAGTTCAAAACCCAGAATTGTAATCTTTAGAGTCCTGAAGGGTTTAGACCAAGGATACTTGAAGGGGTTTCCTGCCTTGGTATGAATCTACCCACCCACCAAGATCTAGAAGGAGTCCTCATCCATATTCCACTTTTATTGGGCGGCTCTATTAACAGGGACTGACAACAAGACTGAAGTTACCGCAGCACTGAGCTCCTCCAGAACTTCCCACCTGCCAAAGCATTGCATGCAGCAGACTCATCTGGTTTTTTGTTCTGCAAAAGCTATTTGAATTTTCTCTGTATGAATTGTACGTGGCCTGGGTTTAATGATTCCCGCAGGGTTTTCTTACTGTATTTATTTTTAACTACTCTTGATAAACAACCTAAGGTATCTTTCCATTGTTTCAAGCCCTGCAATCTGTGGATGTAAAAAAATTTCAGCATTAAAATAGGACAGGACCACTTGTCATTAAGTTAGATACATGTTTAATGGTAAAGCAAGAGGAGAAAGAATTAATGATATATTGGTGAGGGAGAAGCGAGTTTGTACTTGATGAAGATCACATCCCTACATCGAAAATGGCACACTTAGCACTGTTAAGACAGAACTAAGAATTTTAAACCACTTCCTTGGGCCCCATGGCAGCAGATAATACTTGATGCAAGGAGATTCCTACTTGCCCTGCTCATGGTTATCGCTACCCTTTGGGTGACGGTGTGTATGTCATTTGTCCACTATAAGGCACTTGCAAGCAGGCAGCATACAAAGCAAGTCAACTTTAACACTAAGGATTTCCAAGAGTTATCCAACTGTCATGGGGTGGTGCTTGCAGAATTGATCGATTGCTCTTCTAGTAGCCAGCACTGAGTGAGGAAAGACCAAGTTGCTTTCGTTGTTAAATCCAACAGCAGCTACAGAATTATCCAAGAGAGGAAGGAAAGTGCTGAGAAACTGGGTGGCATCAACAAATCACAAGGTCAACTGCTTGTCTGTGCTTCTGCATTCACAGTTCTGCCACAGTCTTTCAGAGCAGTGCTGCGCAGCCTTTGGCTCTTCCCTAGGCAGACCCCAAGCTAGCAGGACCCCTGCTACTTTTCCTGGAGAAAAACTACTGCTTCCCAGCCTCCAACAGTGGCAGAAAAATAATTAGCTTCATGGCAAACAGTGGGGAGAGGAGTGATCCAGCTGTTAAGAGTGTTGGACTAGGGACTCAGGAGATCCAGGTTCTTATTCCCACCCATCGATGCAGCTCACTGGGTGACCCTGGAAAACTGAAGGACACTCAAACTAGCCTACCTCGCAGAGTCATTGTGAGGACAAAACAGAGAGCAGTGCCTATGGAGGTTTCACTGAACTCCTTGCAAGTGGAACAAAGGCAGGATATGCACATGAAGCTCTAAGGCAGACACGCTAATTGATAATTCATTTCCAGCGCACAGGAGGCTGAAGCTCCCTATCCCACCAGATGCAGTAGAGGCAAAAATGTTGTATACTACCAGAGGGAAGGGCCCTCACCCTACCTGCCTATGTATCACTACACTACCTCTGCAGTGGCTTTTTTGGTGTGAGCTGCTTTCAAGAACCAGACAAAAAGCAGTATATACCGTTTTGCTGGCAACAAAAGAAGTGATTATGTTATTGAGAAGGTGAGATTCTCCCCTTTCTGTGACTTAGAGTGATATGAGGACTTAGATTCTATTCACACTGGACAAGGCTATACAGACTTGTCTTCCTGTTGGTCCTGAGCCCTGGCAGGTTCAAAACCTTTGTCCTAGGGAGATATATCAGCTGATAACAGGTTATTTGTTTGTGGTTTGTTGGCTTTCATGCTTTTTATTTGAAATATGTTTTAACTTGCCCAGCATAGCACCTAACCAAAAAAGGAAAAAAAACCCTCAATTACAAGACATAAAAAAAAGACACAAAACCCACACTTTTGTAAGAGCGCACAGCCTGGTAAAAATCTATTTCAGTACAAGTTGCGCCTTTAATCTTGAAAGTTACAATACAAAATAAAAAATTGGTCAATGGCATAAGATCAAGTTAACAGATTTATTTTTATACACAACTTTTCTACTAAAACTGCATTCTTCCCGGAAGTTTTCAAACCCAAACGGATTGAATTCCAACTTGAGAGTCTTTGAAGTTCTTATACACAATAGTTGAGTCCCTTGAGACAATGAAATGCATTTTAAAAAATGAGACAATAAAAGGTTAAAAAATGAAATTAAACAAGGCTTCAGAGACATAGATCATATAATGAAAAGCTTTTTGGAGAATCAACTGCTACTGAATCTTCTCAATTTTCCATCCAATTGTTAGGATACTTCCATTTGCTGCTTTGCCTCACATTCAAGAGATAAGAATAGAATCTATAGTTTGCTAACAAGTGTGACTTTTTTGGTTGTGTTTAAAATAAGTTTGACCAGACCAATCAAAGAAACTACTAGGCATACCAGGGTTCTATGACATCATAACTGGGATGTTAAGACTTAGCATAATTTCAAGCTAATTAGGCTCCAATAGAGCATTCTGTAGATTTAAACAGCATTTATCTTGCTGATTTGCCAGGAAACCTTAATTGAATACTAAACATTCTCATATAGTGGTCACAAGACTCAAAATAAATACTGACCTCTTTAAAAAAAAAACAACAAAACCCAGAGTCTTATTCTGCATTCTTCTTACAGCATACAGGATCTGTATATATATATTTATATTTGGACAAAACATGATGTGTTCCACGCAGCACAGAGCACTTGAGGTATGATGTCCAATAAAGGTGGCTAAATTCCATAGTGAGAGTTAAGCAATAACTTTGAGATCTAAGAGAGGTTGGGAGGGTTGCAGCTTCCAGAAGGGACCACTTGGTATTCAGTTGCGATTAGCCACAGGTTAAAGCAGGAAGAGGAAAACAAGAAGTGAATGGATAGGGCAGGAAAAGGCAGGGCAGGTTGGGAGAAGAGGAATGAACGACAGCCCTTTGGCATGAGTACTGAAGCTCAGTTTGTCATCAACAGCAGCATGACAGGTCTCCAAGCAAGGAATGCCAGCCAGTAGAAACCGCTGTTGCAGGAATAAGCCAAATGGTTCAAGCACGCTTCTGGAGCTGCAGAATTCTTTTTGTTTCTTGGTGTGCTTTTGCAAAAGGGTCAGCAGCTTCCCTCCTGGTTTGCCTTCATAGTTTGCATGTGAAGGTAAATGCAAAATGCATTTGCAGTCTTGCTGTCACCACACAAGCATATCCGCTCTGCAAGTTAAACTTCTGACCTTCGCATGGTGCACAATCCACTGAATTTAATGTATCCCAAATCTCAGAAAAATGTATTCAGTTCAGAAACAAAGCTTAATATTTCCATGTCTGCCTCAGCTTTGACACTGTACATGTTACATCTCATTTATATAGTGTTTCAAGGTGTGTGTGTGTTTTCTCCAGACACTGCAGACTAACTAACTACATAATATGGACATATTAAAAAAATTCTGCTGCTCATTGAAGGCGCTCACACACAGGAACATTTCAGGCAGTTCAATGACATTTCTAACAGGCAGTAAAAAAAAAAGTTACTAACCCTTTCTGACTTTATAAAGCATTTTTTTCAAACAAAGGTTAGTAAGTACAGATGTCTTATTCATTCCCAGTTTAACTCTGTCAACTTGAACCTGTTCGAAAGATGATGGGGAAAAAGGTAGATTTTAAAATAGTAGAGAATAAAAGAGGAAAGCATATTACCAAGCTGAACAGGACAGCAATGCGTATTGGCAAAAGTACGGGTTCTTCCTTAAGAGTTAGCTGAATTTGAGAAATATCCCCATTCTGTGTGCAACAGGGCTCCAGTTTTTTTAAAAAAAAGACAACCAAAAAAACAAAACCACTTATTGGCATATGCTCAGCTTAAAATGTCTTACCACTAACAACAACTATTTCAATTGTACAGTGGTGTCTCAGGAGGGAAGGCTTCCATACCTAATTTCCATTCAGCTGCTGCTGAGGAGCTCCACTCTGGTCAGCTGCTGACTTCTCACGGCTTTTGCTTTCTCGTTCTTCATCTTCTTCATCTCGTTCATCATTTCCACTATGGTTTTTACAGTAAAGCCTAAAAGAATGCATCGCCACAACAAGGCAAAACAAAAAGCCCTGTTACAGAATATTCATTTTGTCCTTTTACTGCTGAAATTTTTCTTGATATTTTATGAGCTTCTAGAAAATGTCCCAAAAATGTTTAACTGAAGGGCCGCATGCAAGCATTTAAAACAAACAAAACAAACAAGTGTTTGGGCTACTCAGAAAACAGGAGAGCTAAACCCAGACCCCTCATGGCCAGTGCAGAGAGAATCACACTCATTGCCTTTGCAAAGGCAGAACATCAACCCTGGGAGGAGGCAGAAAGGGGGCATTCCAGAGGGAAAGGAGGAAAGCCCAAAATATGTCTGCTCCTGGGCCTGTTCCAGCCTCCTTCCCTCCCCTACCAGGTTAAAAGGCCTGCCTGCCTGCCTGCCTGGTAGAAGCCTATCCAGAAGAGGGATGGGTGACGATCCCTTTCACCACTTCTCAAACACTCCCAAGTTCTGAAGGCCCCAAGTCCCAGAAGTCCCCAGGGCTTCCAACAGGTGAGGACACAACTTGAGTGTGCCTTTAATGTCTAAAATACCCTGCTCTACCATAACCCTAACACCCCAAAAACTCTCAGTGGCAACTTCCACAAGCACTAACAATAGCTCAATACATTCAGATACAATATGCCTACACCAGTCCATAGGCACTTCCATTTTTTAAAATAGTTATGCAGGTATTTAAAAATATTTCAGATTAGAATTTTTCTGAAACATTACCAAGTGATTTAATTAAGTTGGAATCTGGTTTACCACATTTAGTTTGTCAACCAAATGTTTTAAAAGTTCAGCACACTAATTTTACACACTACACAAACTTTTGAAGGTTTTCCAATAATATCAGAACTGAAATATTTCACGCAGGATATGCAGGGGGGAAAAAATCAAGAAAGCACACTTAGATGAAACTAAAAACCCAGTCTTGTACACGAGCACTTAACATTCAGTCCCACTTACTTCCAAGTAACTGTGAACAGAACTGCAGCCTACATACTAAATCTGGTGGGTACAAACAGCACGAACCGAATATAACTTAATCAAAAATAGATCAACCAGGGCTGCAGCTGACATTTAAAACCGGCTTTCAAGGTATGTATTCATGTAAAAGTACCATCAGTAAATCAATCTAAGATGCTCAAACTAGGACAAACGAGTAAAGGAATCAGTGGTGAAACCACATAGTGATCAAGACTTGCTTCAAGAGACAGAACTTGCTACCATGTTCAGTGCAGGCCCCCTTGTGGCCAGCCCTTATGCTCAGCCTCAATGACATTAAGTATGAGGGTTGGTCAGCTTAGGTATAAGTACCAGGCATGGTGAAGGAAGCTGCCCTCCCCAGTAGTTTGCATCCTCCATTCATGTCTCAGGTTAGAGTTAAGCGATGAAGCCCCGCTCAGTCAGAGACAATAGTTGTGGGGGCACACGGGTGACAGAGTGCCACTGCACTCATCTCACTTGGGTGTATCCAGTGGGCACCTGGTTTGGCCAAGGAGAGCAGAACGCTGGACTGAATGGGCCCCTGGTCTGATAGTTAAATATTGCATTTGCTTGATTATATTATATTGTATGGAATGTATTTTGTTGTTCACCCAAAGAGCCCTGTGGGCTATGGGGCAGAATGTTGCTGTTGCAAGTTGTGCCCGACCCATCGCGACCCCATGGACCACATTCCTCCAGGCCTTCCTGTCCTCCACCATCCCCCGGAGTCCACCTAAGCTCATGCCAACTGCTTCAGTGACTCCATCTAGCATACACATGTAGTAAATGAAAAAAATGAAGATCCAGCAAGTCTCCTCTTACATTTGTGTGCATAATCCCTGGCATATCCAGGGCAAAGGAACTGGGAGTAGATGGGAAAAGCTTCTCTGTGCAATGGAGAGTAGCACTAGGGCAGCTTGTTGTGATAGAAAATAAATAAATAAGTCTATTTCGCCCCAGCCATATCCTGAGGCAGGATGCCACCAGCTCTCTGCCCCATCTTTAGTGGGGTGGAAGCGGAAAAGGAATCTGCAGAGTTGCTCTTAGGTAGCAGCTAAGGTACAGAAGGGGTCACACCATTGCCAACTGTCACTATCATCCACTTGAAACAAGTGTGATGAGCAGCTAGGTGCATATGTTTCGAGACTTTTTTCTTTATTTTTTTAATCACAAACCCCCCAATACAGCTAAAGGAAAAACATACAATTAAAGTCATTCTATAATAACAACACCCTGCATCCCATCACTGGGACCATTATATACATGCCAAAGCATTTGCTTTCAAAAAGCTCCATCCTCCTTCCAATATTGTAATGACTCTCATGGAGGTTCAAATCCTTTCCCTTGTATTAGCCCATACTCAATAAATGGTCCCCAAACATCATCAAAATTATAATTACATAGCCTTTTCATTTTAACATCACAAATTAATGTATCCTTAACAGCTATAGTCCAAAATTATCTGTACCAATCACCCAACTGAAGGTCATGTTTCACTTTCCAATTGTTTGCTATAATTATTAATTCTTCACTATCCCATCTCCACTGTTCTCTATCAAATATTGACAATAATGAAATTTCAGGATTTACTTCAATATTTAAATTCAGTATTTTACTGCTTGTTTTAAAAACCTCTTTCCAAAATTTCATTATATATTCACATTCCTACCACATTTGGAAATATGTATGCACTCCCCAACCAGATCTCCTACATAAGTTAGAATATTTGCTATCCATGTGATTCAATTTTACCAGTTGGGTACCAGTTCTATGGTAGTTTATAAGCATTTTCCTTTATTCTTATGGACATACATTTTAATCTCATCTCACACATTTTCCCAATCTTCATTACTAATATTCCTTCTTAAATCTGTTTTCCATGTTACTTAAGAGATCATATTGGTCTTCTTCTTCTAAAAATATCTTACGAATTTAGTTACTGTCCCTTTCATCCACATATTGTCTTGTTTTTCCTTTGCCATTATCATACCTTCAAATAATCTCTGCATCTACCTTTTTTCTTTAACCAATCTTTAGTTCAGCATTCTTACTGAATCTAATTAAACCAAGTCATTTTTCCCTTCCTAATGCCACTTTTATCTAATCCTCTCTTATTTGGACTGTTTTAAAGTGCTAAAATGCAGAAATTTAAGTTTGGCAACAGTCAGCAACAAGCCTAGCAAAGCTCATGTCATATGTTCCTATTACAATAGGCCCTGTATCAAGCCTAGACTAGCAATGGAGTGCAGAGTTTCCACTGGGACTGCTTGCTGAAGTTAATATTGTCTCAAACGAGTGTTCTTTTCTGGGTTTAAAACCAAGTAGTACACAATTCAAAACACTTCCAGCCAGAACAGTGATGTATCAACATCCAGTAACATCCAAGCTTTTGGAATCAAAGACACTGGCCATTATGGAGGTGGGGGGCACTTACTTATAAATTCCTCGTGACATGTTCTCAATGTATTTTGCTTTGTCTTGGACTCCACAGTGGTAATGGTAAGTCTTGATACAAGCTTTTATTTCACATCCAATAGTAGCGCCAGACTGACTACAGAGTGTGCATTTCTGTTATTTGGGAGGAGAGGCAGGGAGAGAGAACAGTGAGCTGTCTTAGGCCATCAACCTCTTCATTTTTCACATTTACCTTCATCATTTTCAAAGAGCACACTTCTGATTAATTTCACAAAGGAACAGAAGCAGTTTGCCCACATGATGATTGTATTATTGCAACTGTATTATAAAGGGGACCAAGCCTTGTGATTTTGTGAACCAGGACAAGAGATCACATATTTATGAAGCATTCCCCTGCACAACCCAAGCAACTTGATAGGGCCTGTTATTAAATTAGCTTTAAAAGCAAGTATTAGCCAGTCAACATTCAGACTTCAAGTTCTGTGTAACAGGTCCAGTGGGGACTGAGACCAGGATGCCGGAGTCAAATCCGTTTGGCCACAGAGCTTGCCTGCTTTAGTCAGTACTTGTCTGAGTAGCGAGGAAATAAAAAAAGCAAGGGATCAGACCTGTGTTTTTTTTATAAAAAAACCCTTTAAGTTCCAACCAAGGCATACCATTCTTTTCCCTCGCTTGATTTCTTGAAGTACAGTTTTAATATCAAAGTCACCAAACTCTGCCCTTGACGTTGTTGTCAGTTGTACAGTGCCAGAAGAGAACAACTAGGAAGAAGAAAAGATGCAAGATATCAGGAGTGTGGATAATGCTTGTCACGGGCAACTTCAAAGATGGGCCTATGACAGGTGAGTGGTGGCAGTCTTCTGAGAGAGGGCGATGGGGACCCGGGAAGCATGAGGTGACAGCCAGCCACTTAAGTGGTCCCCACTTAAAGGGGACCAGAAAACTGAAGAAGGAGAGGCTGGTCAACAGCTGCTAAGTGTGATGGCTAAATGGAGTCTCTTGACTCAGAAGCAGCATGCAAAATAGCAGAAAAACAATGGGAGAAACCCTGTGCCTTCCAGCCTTGCTTTTGGGTTTCTTGGCTGACTGCATGAAAAGACAGGAAGCTAAACCAGATGGACCTTTGTCTGGTTTAGCAGGACTTTTTAATGTTTTTAACCCAGGTGCTAATGTGAAATGTGCCAAAGGATGCACTGGCTTATCTTGTACACCCTGCATCACAAGAGATAAGAGAGTGGTGTGGCGACCTGGACAAATCTTAGCTGGATTATGATGCAGTGGAGAGCCAGCCCCCCTCTGAGTCTCTGTTCACGACACTCATGTCCACAGGAAGGGATTGTACCAAACCCTTCCTACCCTTGCTTAGTGAGAACTTAAGCAATCCTAGAGAGCAAGGATAAAACCATCTTTCTCACCATGCACTTGTAATGTGCAGCTGCCTTTTTGGCATTGAATATATGAAGCTTCCCTCTAGCTTCATTTTCTTCTTCACCTGCATGACAGAATCCACATTTAGGTTTTGTATCATTGGGACTGCTTCTGTGGGGTGATCTGTCTCTCTGTAAGAAAAACACTTTTCTAAAATAATACGGCAGAACAACAAATATGTTTTTAACATAAAGCAGCAAAACAAATGCAATTTTTTTAAAAAAAAGATCAATATTTGAGATTTTTAAACAGATGAATTACTTACATAAGAACTGCTTTCTACATCATCTGTGCCGTGCGAAGATGTGGATCGAGCATCTTCCAACTGCCCTTTGAGACTCATTTTTCTGGGCCTTCCTTTGCGCCCCCTCTTTTTAGGAGGGGATGTTTCCAACTCATGTTCATTAAGACCTTCTTCTAAATCTGTTGGAAGAGAAGCACACACTCAAAAGTGGAATCTTAAACAAGCAGATATGGCCTTTTGTAGAGGTACAAGTATTGGCACACTACTGATGATGGAGACAAGAAGCAAATTCATCTCAAAGCAGACAACTTTTTTTGGCTGTGGGCAAGGGGCATCCACAGGCACCATTTTCATTATTACAACTGATCAGACCAAAGTGCTGTGATAACAAGACAAAAAATGCCCCAACCAACTTATTGAAACTCACTTCCTTTCACAGGGAGGAAAGGGTTGTTAACAGTCCCTCAGGCTTGCTTGTCATCTTACATCTGAGCAAACCTTGCACACTTCCAGAATGAAAGTACAGTGAAAAGCAGTATTTTCTTACATTGTGCAATTGCCTTGTGGACCATGTAGTAATTAAAAAAAATCTATGTAAACCCACAGGGGTTTGTTTTGCTTAAAGGGGATTTGAGGCATGGAGTCGGGGGAGAGATCCCCCAGTGGCAACTAGGCAAGATGGCTATATGGAACTCCAAGTACCCCTCTGAACAGCACTTAATGGTGGGGGCAAGCATTGAGGCTGGGCTGTTACCTTCAAGCTCCAAGTCTCACAGGTACTTAGCCGCCCACAGTGGGAAAAATAAACCTTTAGGCTGAACCCACAGGGCTCTGCTTCTTTCTTATACTCATGTGCAAGGAAGGTTTACTGCTTCTCTTCTGTTCCCTTTTCTTGAATGGAAAGCCTAAGTGTTCGATGCACTTATTAAAAAACAGCAACAGACCAAATGATTTTACCTTCAGAGTTGTGTGGTGCTTTCTTGTGTTTTCGACATAATATCCTAGAAACGGAATGTTGAAGAATACTCGGTTAGCCAGAGCTTTGTAATCTACTTAGGAACCATGATGATGTGTTACCCACAATTTAAGACAGGACAGCATTTGCACTAAATGAAAACCATAGTTCAAAGCTTCTGCATAAATAAAAAACATTACAGTCTTTCAATATATTTTTAAAAGGAGAAATACAAATGGTAGTTACATGTAAATGCCTTGGGAAGGTTTCTCTCGGATTTGAGCTTTATCACGCATGGCACAATAATAGTGATATGTCTTGCGGCAAGTTTTTACATCACAACCAATGGTTGCCCCTGGACAATGGCATGATGAACACATCTGAAATACAAGACATCTTATTAGAGGCTTTTGTTACATGAATATAGACAATTCAGATGAACCAACTGAGAGAAATATAATCTCTCAAATATAATCATTCAAGTTATAATGCAGTTTGCTCTTTACTATTTTAACATGTGAAAATGATCAACTACAGTTGCATCAAATTAAAGGCAGAGAAACGCATCCTTTTTCCTAAGAGATGTATCTGTGATCCATAGCTAACCTTCACTTAATTTAGGGGGCATACAACTTGAGGGCCTGACCCCTGCAAAACCCCTGACCCAATCACTGAAATCCCACTGCTACCTGCATTTTTATAGCCCCCTGCCTAGGCATGCATATACACCTGCATGCTGTCTAACCCGAATAATGTGGTGCTAAGAAAATTGTGCCTCATAGATCCTCTGACAGGTAGCTAAACTCTGTTCCTGAGGAAGTTTAACATTTTGCCTGTCCATCTTTCTAAGGAGCTGGCATTGTGTCAGGCTTACAAATATGAGCTGCAAGCCCATTTCATCTCAATTCAACCTCAAATGGTCAACCACACACATATCTTTGAGCCACAGCATCATTTTTATAAATACAGACAACACTGGCACAACATACAGGGCCTTTGCAAGGATTAGCAAACTAATGTGAGGTGATCTGAGTATTTAAGGAAAGCATTTTGTTACTCTTGGGCAGCAGGACCTGCATGAAAGAGCCAAGAAAGGAAAGACAGATGCTTTGAGAATGGGATCCTGATCTATGAATAATGGTTACAACCCAACTGTTACAACTTTAAGCCTATTAAATATGGCAACTTAGAAACCAAAACTAAAAGTTCAGTTTTTAAGAGTTAGGACCCCTGTTAGCTGCAGCTTAATACACAGGAGGTACTAAGTTTAATTACTGGCACTGCCAGATAACATGATTTTGGATTAGCATGGCTCACAAAGACTTCTGGCCCACAACTGGGAGAGTTCCTGACAGTGAGAAGGAACAGTAATGGCAGGATGGAATGATGGCTTGGCATAGAGGCAGGTGTCTATGTTCAAAATCATCATGCACATTATCTGTCATAGCTCAACTGAAATCAAAAGGAGTTGCATGAGCACATTTAATACAGCTCACTCAATATATCTAAAGCAAGTGAAAGAGGACTGCAGATTTGGGTACTGCAAAATTAATCCATGGTTTGTAACACAATCTGATTGCTTCAGGGAATAGATCTCCATGTAAAATACATTTTAAGAAGTAACCAAGATCAGGGGCTTGAGGATACAAACAATGCTATAAATGAAGATAGCTGCAAACAACAAGGGAGTAGAAAAACAGTGTGAGGGATTAAGCATTTTTTTCCCACGTGGTTACTCTCTGTTCATTTTCCTTATTGGTTGACACAAAGGGAGAGAAATGTGTCTCCCTTGAGCATGATCAGTTAAAGTACACTAGATATTGCTATTTTAGAAAAAGGAATGCGCAGCATGGGACATGACAACCACTGCTTAGCCTCAGTCCAGAACGCTAAAGCAGTACACAATGCAACAGGAACAGAGCAAGGAAGACAGAAAGAAATGGTAGGGTTCTGAGAAGTTAAAAAAAAGTACAACCTTTTCACTTGTGACCCAGAAATGCCAACTTACCAGCTTGGTACCTCTTTTTATTTCCTTCTGCACATCTTCAATGGAAAAGCCTCCAAGACTCTCGTTATCAGAGTGTGAAGATACCAGGGCAGATGAGAAAAGCTAGACAGATCCAAAAAAGATGTCTACCTTTGAGAGTACACTCTTAAGATAGCGCATTAATGAAATGATAAATAAGAACAAAAAGTCATTAAGGAACCACATGACTCTGTGTTGCTTCTTGGTTCAACCTCTCTAAAGTGATGTATGCAGCTCAGACGCCACGTCAAAAGTATTTCATGTACAGCCTTATCCTATGCATTTCTTTATTTGGAAATCAGTCATATGAATACAAGAGGCTTGCTTTCAAGTAAGTCTGTACAGGATAAAACCTGTCTAGGGAAAATACAGACTCCATGGAGGTACTGAATTAAAGAAATAGGAGGGTTGAAAAATTGAGGACTCCCATCCCACCTACCTTGCCTTCTCCACAAATGCTCTCCTTCAACCCAGTACAGTGGTACCTCGGCTCATGAATGCCTCAGTTCACAACCAAATTGAGTCGCAAACAGAAATTTCAGAGAAAAATTGCCTCAGCTTGCGAACTCCGCATTGGGTGACGACCACAATCGCGCCCATCTCCCCCCTCCGAGCATAACTGCGATCAAGGCCATCTCCCTCTCCCCCAACACGATCGCTATCGCACAATTATGGCAATCCAAACAACCTCCCCCCCGCCTCCCCCAGGCACTAGGTTAGTGTTCTCTACTGTATTTTGTTACTTTGTTGCTCTTTGATACTTTGTTTCAAATTTTTGTGATTTTAAAAGAACATTTACAGAACGGATTAACCTTATTTACATTGAACCTTATGGGGGAATTTGACTTGGCTCATGACCAGAATCCTGGATCGGATTAAGTCCATGAGCAGAGGCACCACTGTACGAGTGTTCCAACCTGAAAGCCACCTGAGCTGTTTCCACCAACCTTTGGGGGCACTCACCATACATTTATGATGTGCTGCCACCTTCTGGTTTTCAGAGAGCAGTAGCTGCCCGCATTCCTTATCTTTGTTGGATTTGCAAAAGCCACATTTGCGCTGCCTCCCGGGCCCCTTTTTCTGTCCGACTGAGCTTGACATGATTTCTAAAATGGCTTGAAGAACGCCACTTCAATCCTTGTCAATGCTGTAGTGGGGAAAAACATATAATAACAGCCTCTCTCCACTTCATTAGGTATGTAACATTCCTTATTAACAGCCTCTTCGAGGGTGGGACATGGGAGTGGCTGGTACAATTTTCTAAATAAATCTGCATATTTCCAAGGTTTTAGCTCTGAGGAAATAAATATTGCATCAGAAACCCCAAAGGGAAGCATCCTCAAAGAAAGGAAGTTCCAAAAATTAAGGCTAAAACACAAGGGAGAAGAAGTGCCATGCCCACTCAGACGCTGGGCACTCATGAAGGCAACTCTTCTATTGTTGCTCCTCAGCAACTGGCATTATTCTGCCATACCACCCGGAAGGAGAACGTTCTCTGTAGCCAGAATGACTAAAAGCCTTTCACACATCCTCCACGTTTCTGCCCATCTACTTTTAAAGCAACTGAAGCCAGTGGCTATCACCACATCTAGCGGCAGAAAATTCCAAAACAGATGTGTTGCATGAAGGACTCTTTTGTCTGCCTCCCATTCCTTGGAAATCAATTTCTTTGGATGCCCAGATTGCCAATATTATGACAGACAGAGGAAACTTTCTCCCCACCATGCACCATTCTATAAACCTCACTCATGAATCCACATTAGTCTTATTTAAACTGAAAAAATGTTGCAGTCCTTCCTGCAGGAGTTACTCCAGCCCCCTGATCATTTTGGTTGCATTTTTTCCAGCTATAATTTATGCCTCGAAATTAGATGATCTCACCAAGAGTATGATCACATCCAAAAAAAGAATCTAATGTTTCTAGAGTGTGTAACTGTGGGAATTGGAAAAAGCAATAATTTCTAGGCATTTATATCAAGATATCAACTGTTAGAGGAACTCAATAAGGCACCTTGATTTTTTATTTTTTAGCCCTGCTAAAGACAAACTCCCCTTACAACTTTTTTTCCACAACAGACCTAGTAATTGCTACACATTTTTGTTGACATAGTAACAGGAGAATTCACTTCACTAGCAAAGGATCTGGGTCAGCAAGAGAACCCAAAAAGAGTATTTTTACACTTTGAAAATGCAGGCACAGCAAAATGTTCTATGAAATAAGCAAGGAACTAAAATACCTCAGCTTCAATTGTAGCTATACTCAGGTCATTTTTAATGAAACTAATAGAAATGCTATTAATTTTGCACTCTTTATTTAGCATTTTACATGCTAGACTCTATCAAAGCTAAAATCAAGGACATTCACAGAAATCATTTTCATATTGTCCTGTTAAAACAAAACTTTCTGGAAGGTAACAGATTACATCTCTGGCCAGAATCTGTCATATGTATCATGTAGCTGTAAAGTATAAGCACTTTAAGAGCACCACCCTATGGGCTCCTGGCTTTGGGTGGGTGGGGGGTACATGATTATTTGGAGGCCCAGCTCCAAGCTCTTAGAACCCCAGAGTTGGGACTTCAAAGGATGAGTCCCCACCTCATGCCCTTCACAGCTGGCACAGAACAAGCTGTGCAACTGGGTCTTGGAGGAGAGAAGGGGTGTGGCGGGCAGTGGGAAGGGGAGATGCTGGAGTTGACAGCTTTTCGGTGCCAGGTCAATACCTTTTTATTTACCCGATATTTTAAAGTTTAAATATTTTAATTATGTTTTTATCCTCAGTCATGTGTTATTATGTTGTATTTATTAGGCGTTTTATACTGTAAGCTGTCCAGAGACAAACTGTAATGGACGGGTTAGAAATACCCAGATAGATAGATAGATAGATAGAGATAGCTTATATCAGTTCATAAATAAATAAATAAATAAATAGCTTATATCAGTTCTTGCCAGCACCCCAGCTCAACTACTTTCCGCTTCTCCCTGGTGCTTTATGTAAATACCTGCAAATGGCCATTCAGATAAAATGCATGGACAAAGATGGTGGCAGAGCCTCACTCCATGCACCAGACAAATAGAAGCCCAATGTTCAGAAACTTACTTGTGCAAATAAAATGCACACAACATTCTTAGCCATGCAGGTATTAATCTGGATATGAATTCATATAATTAGCATTGCAATTATCAGCCAACATCTATCAGCATGAGGATAGATTGAAAAACTCAGCTGGGTAACAGCCACATTTATTGCCAGAAGATCAATGAAGTGGTGTGCATGGAAGGAAGTGGGATCTGATTAGTCTCAAGTATACCACCTATCTGGAACAAGTTTAGCATCATCTACCAACCTACATTTTCTCTATTTTACATTTAAAGAAAAAGTTGGGATATCTGGAACATATAAAAGGTTCAATCCAGTCTCTCCAGATAGGACAAAGAAATATCTCACTATGAATTCCTAGAGATCAATAGTCTGGCTTGATACAATACCATTTCCCATGTCCTCTCTAGCTGGTCTTAAGGTGGCTAGCCTTGAATAAAAGAACTTCAAAACCAATTTATTCTAAAATTTGTGGTTGGAATTCGGATAAAAGCTTTTTCCATCATGTTACATAGGTTAGCTTCCCAATGCAAAAATGCCTGTGTTATCACCAACCACTTGTTTTATGAAAGGCCACTGTCAATAGCAATTGTTGGTGCTTCATTTTCTTAATTCCACCAGCAACATACATGCAATGCGTACAATTGTACCTCGGAGTGACACTTCATACCTCTGATGAACTGAGCTGTAATTTATGCTACACAAAAATGTATACTACAATATATTAAGTTTGTCTTTAGGGATGCACAAGCCGTTGTATAAACACCTGGACAGACACAAATATTCTTATACTGAGATTCCTTTGACAAATTTCAAAGGAATGTTGATGTTACATTGATACAAAAAGCGTTCAGAGCAGTCATGCTGGATCAGACCAAATCAATACAGTCCAGCATTCTTCTCAGAGGTTGACCTGATTCTTACAAGAAACCCACAAGCAGCACCGAAGTACAGTAGCACCTTCCCATGTTTCCCAGCATGTTGTACTCTGCTTTCATTCTTCCATAGGGAAGAATTTACCATTTCTCCCTTTTGTTTGCTTTTTGTGCTTTAACCCAATATGGATCCATAAGAAGACTCCTTCTCTTATCTTCTTCTGTCTGTCCAGAGGTCACTGGTGGAAGACCTCATCCAATGCATTTTGTAAGTTAATGCATTCTGTGTCTGTCCTAACTTTTCTACAGTGATCGTTGAAAATGTTTAATTTAGCTTCACTGATACCAGCATGAACCATGACCACTAACTCTACCCCAGCACTCAGGAAAGTTATATGGACAGCTTATGATATCCACAACCTTCATCCATGCAGGCAGTTTATAGGCCTACATGACCATCACAAAATTAGCTGCCTAGTGATCAGCTCTCCCATTATCACAACCTCCTTATCTACTGTGCAAAGGATCTTTGCTAATGGACCATTTCCCTTTTCTTCAGAATGCTGCCATCCTTCCAAGACCCCTATTCTCTAGGACAGCAGAAGAACTGTCCCTCAGGGATTGGAATACTGCTATTTGGTCCCACAAGGCTCATCCACCAGCCCCTCCTTCCTTCCCTCCCTCCCTGATTCTCTAGGTAAGTAACCTCAGCTGTAAGGGAACACATTTGTTTCCTGAGAACAAGGAGCATAATATATTAAGCACACACGGCTTCTGTCCCGCAGGCCAATACTTATCCCTGTGGATGGCATAAGTTTCTCCCATGGAATCCCAACTGTAGGATCAAAGAATTAAGATTAATTATTGCAGTATCAATTTAACTGAGTGTAGAAGAGATAACAATTACTTTTTCTGACTTAAAAATATTGATATATGTAGAATTTGTGAAATGTCCCTTTGTATCTTTTTTCTTTTTCTATATTCTACTTTTTAATGAAAATATTAAAAAATGAAAAAGCAATACTGCAAAATACATTGAAATGCATTCTAAACATATTTCATGCACAAAACACAGGATCCCAACTTCTTACTTGAAAGGCTACTTTGCTATGTTTAAAGGATCATTAGTATGTTCTAAGCTAAGGCCTTCCTTATGAGAATTAGATAACCCATGTAACTGTAGTAGAATAAGGCTTGTAAGGGAAACCACACCCCCTTTGGTGATATTCTAGTTTTTTTCCCCTCTGTGGCATAGCATTCTTGATGCAAACAAAGATAAAAATGCGGCCGTTTCCCTCCATGAATGGCTATTGTGTCTTAAGCCCTGCTTGTGGCCTCGCTACACTTTTCTAAACTGACAATTCCTAAAGCATGGGAAAAAAGGCTGGCTCCAAGCAACTAACAGTCGCCCCACTCTCAAACTGCAGACTTTGTTCAGCACCAAAGGAGGGGAAGTAGCTGTGATGTCACCCTAAGCCAAGAATAAGGAGGGAAATTCAAGAGCTTGCCATCATGCTCCACTTAGCTGCTTGAGTCAAGACCCAGCATGTCATTTTCCCAAGGGGATTCAGAGATCTGAAAATGGCCAAACATGTTAGTTTCATCTCTATGTCCTAAATAAATTAAAGAATGTTTGAGATTTCCTGCATCTGTAAAAGAATTTGTGCAGTAATAATACATAGAAAAGAATATTCTTTCATTCAGTAAGTTAAGTACTTTTGGGCCAAAGAAACTAGACAGACTAATACTATTTCTGAAAGACAGCTTTAAACTGGAAGACTTTATGTCTGGTCCTCAGAAATGAAAAAGGAATTAAGAAAAATAGCAACACATTTTTTGGGATTGCAGAAGAACCATACTAAAATGTATTTCTGAAAACATGTGGCAGCTGAGGCACACAGTGGCCCTAGTAGACCCTCCCCTTCAAAACCCTTTAACAAAATAGTAAGGCCACAATTCAACAAGTTCAGCACTGATTTTAATGAAGTTAAGTGCTTAGACTGAAGTGCAATTGGACTTTAAAACTCTTAGCTCTGGCCATATGTGAGCACAGAAGGAAAAGCTTTAAGCAGAACAGGGCACACATTTAATTTGATTAACTGTTTTTAAAGCACTTCATGATAAATTATCCTCCCATATCAGCATATAATATTCTATAAAACAAACAATGTAATAATAATTGTAAGATCCCACAGAACATTAACCTATTAAAAACTATTGTTTTACCCAATTATCTAAAATAATATCAGCAAATAAAAACTTTTAAATAGATGAAGCAGATAAAATAGTTAAAATACCACAAAGAATCCAGAAGTTGAATGGAGTAAAAAGCTCTTCAGAACCCACCTAAAGAGCAACAAGGAGGGGGCCAAATTTATTTCCCTGGGCAGGGAATCCCAGAATCACAAAGCCACACAGAAAGGGCTCTGTCCCTGGCACTCTTCAGTTCGACAACTCTTAGTGGTGTTCCAGGAAGCAGATTGCAGGTGTCAATCTTCAGATTTGGCAAGGTACATAAAAATGCAGAACCAAATTGTTTCAGGATTTCAAATTTAATCCCACCACTCCAAATCAGGCTTGTAAACAAAAGGAAGCCAATGCATCCATGACACAGTATGCATAATGGGATAAGAAGCCAGTTCAACCATTGCAGGCTCAGTGCAATGCAAGGTGATTCCTAAATGTGCCTTCACTGCTGCACTGTGCATCAACTGAAGTATCTTTAAGGGCAGACCTGTACCTGTGCATGGCAAATAACCATGCCCTTCTCTAATCTGATTTAAAAAAACACATTATTGGCCCCTTATGACACCTGGACCTCTAGAGAGAGTACCACATACCCCAGTAGTCACGATATATGCACCTGGCCCTTTACTGAACACAATCCAGCAGCACCCTACTATCTAGACCTGCAGATTTTCAGGCCGAGAACACTTCTGTTGGTTTGAATTAAGTTTTAACATCTTTGTTTTCCTCTATCCTAAAGTCTGGCCAAAGACATACATTCATTTGATTAAAAGATCAATATGAGAAGCAGACCTGCATGTAATCCACATAAAGATTTGTAGGTTTGTTACTAAGAGCGTGCTTGCCAAGAAAGGGCAGTCAGTTCTGGTTTTTCAACACATGCATCTGTTTGATACATGATATGGCAGACACAAATTTATCCTTTGCATACCTTTACATCTCCATGTATATAGAATGTTAGCCTACACACCTAAACGTGCATTTCTTAGGTAAATTAACAGTGGGGCTTATGCAGCACAAATTGTATCATTATTTTTGCTAAAAACATCCAGGCCAAGCCAAATGACATCTGTACTTTCACCAGTAATTATGCTGCATACACACAGCCAGCAATGGCAAGTAACCAGGAATATATTACACCAGTTCTTGAACATTTATAGCTATGAATAAGGCAAAATTCAAAGAGTCAATTTCAACCTATGGGTCCCTAAATTGCTTTGGAACAATGTGGTGAGGAAACTGACTATCCCTCTATTTGAATCTGAGGTTGATCTTAAGAGGTAACAAAGATGTGTCCTGAGGCACCTTTTTAGGAACATATATTCTAATCGTGAGAGCAGCCGGCCGGTGCTGGAGGTCAGACTAGATGGCCCGGGAGACCCCTTCTGACTCACTCTGTTTCTGTGTTTCTATACAGACATTTTAACAATTGTTACAATAACAGTACACTTGCCAGGTCAAAGGGATTTCTCCCACAGGTACACGAAGCTGGAGATAGCTGCAAAAATCTTGTTCTCTGAACTTTTTCGTAACTGGCCAAAGAAACAAATCTTTGAGAAAACAGCCTAACATAAATGTTATAGTAAGGGCACCAAATCTTAGAACTGAACACACGTGGAAGCTGCTGGCATCTGTAAGAGATGAGCTTTGGCAGTCTAAATAGGCAATACAATTACAAAGCCACTGCATGTTGCCTAGATGCTTGGACAAGCATCTTTAAATCAGTTTGCCTTCCCAAACTTTGCCTGAATCAGTCAAGCCCCAATACCCTGGAAACCAGGGTCTGCTCAGCAGAATGGATTCTGATTTCTATCTAGGGCCATTAACACAAAACCCAAATGTTAATAAGCTCTAGAGATCATTAAGAATCTTCATATGGTTCAGGGCAGGGATTTTCCATTGTACGTAACATGCAGCTTCTGGCAGCCACAAAAGTTTTTTATAACAAGACCCTAGCAAACATCCTTCGCTCTTGCCTGCTTCCAAAAAGCAGCAAAGTCACAGGGAAAATACCAAAGACGGCCAGTGCAATCTGATCCCTTGAACCACAAAATTCAGAGCTCTTTTGGTTGAAAGTAAAACTGCCAATATTGTAATGCCATCATAGACATTTATACTGAGATTCCTCAGTGAGAAAAGGCAACAATGCTTGAGCTATTTAGTTTAGGGGGGAAAGGTGAGGAAGACAGAACAAGACAGAACAGTACAAAATAATGCATGGTATGAAGAAACCTGTTACTTTCTCATGAGTGTAAGTCATCATCTGAAGCTGAAAGTGGGAAATTCCAGCAAGAGGAGGAGGAGAACTTTTCATTTCCACAGGGCTTGAGGATGGCCCTCAACTTGGAAAGCTTAAAAGGTATTTAGCCAATCCATGGCTACTAGTCATGATGGCTATAAGCTACCTCCAAGACTGCAAACAGGATGTTTCTGAATATCAGTTGCTGGGAGACAATGGGAGAATATTGTAGACATGCTCAGTTTTGGAGATTCCCTTATGGAAAATGGGATGTGCTGGTCTATGCCTTTTCTTACGTTCTTATTATACAACAAGGGAAGCCAATACCCAGAATAGAAGTGTTACTATAGCAACACCATCTCCCCAAATTCCTTGTCCCTACCCCTTTACAGATTAGGACACATCACCCCTCAACAGTGTGTGACCAAAACTAGGAATGCATGGACTAACAGGGCAACAGGTTAAGGGAGACATCCTTTCTTCAGCACAGACTGCTGGCATAGGGTGGCACTTGGATTTTCCCATTTCTTGTCATCTCAGCCTCCAACACTGTGTGGCAAAAAACACTTTCTAGCTCTGCTAAACAGACTATTTTGTGCCATCAATGGATTACTGTTTTCTCACCCTTAGATGCGCAAATATGGGGAGAAAACCAACCTACCTTGTCAGACAGTTGCAAGAAGAACCAAGGTACACCAAAAACCCTAGAAAATTGAAATATTCTCTATCACTGCACATAGCATAGCAACAGGTAAATAATTGTTATTAATATAGAATCTTGTTCTCATAAAACTACTCTTATGAAAGTTGCATGCTAGTGAGAAGTAAGCCGTACTGAACATGGTGGGCCTTACCTCCAGCAAGCATCTACTTGGCACCTCTGAAAGTCAGGTTTTACAGCTTGTCATGTATGTCAGTAGAAGTCTATACAAGTCTACCTGGAAATAAGCCCCACCAAGCTCAGTGCAAAGCTTACTGCAAACAGCCCTTCCCCCATCTTGCACAAATAAAATATGGTGTGGCAAACCAGAATGGAAAATACTAGGGTTCAAACCCCCGCTCACACTGGCTGAGCTGAGGCCATTTACACATCCTCTTTCTTTACCTTCCTCCCTCACAGGATTGTTGTACAGATTAAACATGGGTAAGGCAAAAAGAACCACATCATTCACTTTAAGCTCCTTGGGGGAGAAACTAGACATAGGTGCAATTTTTTAAAAAGTCCTCAACAATAGGGGACAAAAAGCGAGACGCAAGCTCTTTTGCAAAAGAGCAGATCCGAGATGCAGCAGCCCTTTGGATACAGGCTTGAGGGCGAGGTTGCACATCCGATTTTTGTTCACCTCACTCCGGGCAAGAAGAGAGCCAAAGTCGCAACACGCACCACTCAACGACGGGAAAATCCCCGACTCCCTTGCAAAGGGAAGGGCCCCCCGCCTTTGAGAGCGATGTCGGGGGGATAGTGACACCCCGGAGGATTGGGAAGGGTCGGCGGGGGCCAGCCCCCCCCACAGATTCGCGGGCGCCTCCACCCCCATCCCTCCAGGGTCAACGGCCTGGGCGGGCAGGAGGGCGGGGGCAAGGAAGGAGCGGTTTCCATGGCAACCGGCTCCTGCCCGAGGGGGGGCGTTGGCCGGGCATCGGACTCACCAGGGCCCTCTCAGGCCGAGAAACGAGGGCGAGGCGAGAGGAGCGAAGAGCCCCGCAGAGCTGAACCGGATCCGCCGCCGCCGCCGCTCTCTGGTGAGGCGCTCGCTCGCCGGGACCTTCCCTTTCATTCGGAGGGGCAGGCGAGAGGACGCTGCGCCGCGCGCCTTGACGCCAGCACGTACGGCGCGCGTGAGGCGAACACTAACCGCGAGACCGGCGTCCTGACGTCACGGCGGCGGACGTCGTCCTCAGCCGCCAGCCCGCGTTTTGTGCTGGTGTGTGTGCGTGCGTATTTCCCCCACTGTCCCCACCTATCGGCGCATCTGTCAAAGTACGCATGCGCCGCAGGCCAAACCCCCCCCCCCGAACATGGCGACGGGTAAGGCGCGCGACGGTTAGGAATGAGGCTGGCGACTCACCTCGGTGTGCGTGAAGGGGGAAGGGGAGGCGCACATGCGCACTTGCTTCTCGGGAAGGCGGCACAGGGCGTTCCACGCAGGCGCATTCCAAAGCTGGAGGCCGTGGCAGTGCAAGCTGGTTTGAATGGGTGTAGAAATACGGAGCATGCGCAGAACGTCTTGCATCATTTTAATCGTATTCTGTATGTTTTTAAGCTGCCGGTTCTTCGTTTTCAAGGTTAGGGTTTAATGGGGGGGGGGGAGTGGAGTTCCAATTCTCCCTCGGCAAGCTCGTTGTTCTTTTTTATTTTTATTGTCCCACTGTTGTTGTTAGTCGCGAAGTCGTGTCCGACCCATCGCGACCCCATGGACAACATTCCTCCAGGCTCTCCTGGCCTCCACCATCCCCCGGAGTCCACCGAAGCCCACACCCACTGCCCCAGTGACTCCATCCAGCCACCTCATCCTCTGCCGCCCCCTTCTTCTTTTGCCATCAGTTGGGCCCTGCATCAGGCTCTTCTCCAGGGAGCCCTTCCTTCTCATTAGGTGGCCAAAGTACTTGAGTTTCATCTTCAGGATCTGGCCTTCTAAAGAGCAGTCAGGGTTGATCTCCTCTAGGACTGGCTGGTTTGATCGCCTTGCGGTCCAAGGGACTCGCAGGAGTCTCCTCCAGCACTACAATTCAAAGGCCTCACTAGCAAGTTAATTAGTTGAAATACGTTGAACCAAAATAATCCATTCAATTATTTAAACCAAGTCAAACTAAGCATAATGGATCTAGAGTTGCAAGTGTGCATTTTAGGGTGCAATGCTAAGACTAGACAGGGGAAAGAAGCATGTCTGGAACTGTAGTCCTTTTTCCTGACCAGAGTGGCAAAGTCCTACATACAGTCAAAACATGCAAAGTAAGAGCCCTTGCTGCAATCCCAAGCATGCAACATGGAAGTAAATGCAGGTAAATAGTCATGCCTAGATCAAATCCAGTCAGAGTTTTCCTAGGAAGCAAAAATGACAAAACAGGTTGATACTTAGGGCACATAATGAGAAGGCCAAACTCCCTGGAGAAGATAATCATGCTATGAAAAGTCAAAGGCAGAAGATAAAAAGGAAGACCAAATAAGAGATAGAATTTGGAAGAGCTGAGCAGGGCTGTCATGGACAGGACATTTTTGAGCGCTTTCATTCATAGGATTGCCCTAAGTCAGAGACAACTTTTCTGCACATCACATGCACATGCATACAGAAATTGGCATGCACTGTATGTGATTACAGGTTCAGTGGAAGCATCTGCTAACAATACAGAGCAAGTATCATTTGACAACCAGCAAGGCGATATACTGAAGACGAGTCTTGAAGCCGTCGTGAGGCTCAAAGGTTCTTGCTTGGTATGCACCCACCTGGCAGGGTTGGTGCACTTGTTGGCTTATCCATGCACTGCAGCCTCAGCTGGCAGAGCCAGTGTTGCAGTGGCAGGCCAGAGTGTCTGCTGGGCAGCAAGTTACCCACCACCATTGACAAGGGAGGGAGCCTGGGGAGGAGGAAAGAAAGGTGCCCCTTTGGCCTGCCACTCTTTCCTCTCCATGCAGGGGCCTTGCCTCTTCCACCCTGCATGCAGAAATTCAACCTGTGTGACTTCACCAGCAGGCAGAAGCACAGCTGGCAAACTGCCTCAGCCTTCCCCAACCTGGTTCCCTCCAGATGTGTTGGAGGAAATCCCCCACCATCCTTTCCCCAGCCAGCATCAACACACCTGGTGACCAGGGCACATTTTGCCATTAATTTTTATCCCACTCCTCTTACAAGGGACTGCACTTAACATGCAGGACCCTTTCCCCCAGTTTATCGCCATCTTGGGAGGTTAGGTTAGGCCAGCCTTTCTGATATGTAATATGTTAGACTGCCGTGCCCATCATCCTCAGCACATAATGGCAGTTGTAGCTCAAGGCATCTGAAAGCTGCAGGGTTGAAGAAAGCTTAGTTAGGCTAAAGGACCCGGTGAGTAGCTTCCTCAGTAAAGAAGTAGTTTTGAACCTGGGTCTCCAGTGGAGAAACCCTACATCATGCTCATTATTGTGGAAGAGCAATCTACCAAATTTAGAATGGATTGCAGAGGGAAGCCTTCAAAGCATTGCAAGGGGGTGCATCCCCCAATTAAATTCTTGGAAAAGAGGTATTGGTAACGACTAATGCTTCATCCCACCAGATATGATTCTTTTACAAAACTGGATTCAGCACATTTGGAGATGGTGATGTGGCAGCTCCACATTTGGAGCCCTGTCCTTTCCCTTTGACAGCAAGTAAACGGTGAGAGCAGGCAGAATGTGAACCAAGGGACCAAACAGTGACAAAAATTCCTGTGTGAGCCCAAAATCTGCACAGGCTCACATCAGCGAATCTGGTGCAGCCAACGTGTTCCTGCTTTGAAGAGAAGGTCATAATCTTTAATGCATCCGTATTACAGCATAAGCATGCCTGGTAGAAACTAAAAAGAGCTGGGCAAGGACTGCCCTCTCCTGGCTAAGGGTTAACATGCGTGTGCTACTGATGAATTTACAACACCCTAGCTGTGTACTTCATTCTTAAAAGCAGCAAAAAGGAATGGAAGGAAATTAGATGAGAGAAACAATGGTTGCCACTGCTCAACAGCACCTTAAGAATATGGTAAAAAAAAATAACCGGATTATTTCTCTAAGTTTACCCATCTGATATACAGATACATTCCAGCATTCCAGAAAATGGGTTGATCTAGCTTTTGTGAATTCACACAATAAATGGAGAGGAACAGAAAATGGTGCATTCATTTTAGTGCACACCCCATGCATGTTTATCTCAGTACAAACAAGTGTTCTTTGGCAAGCTGTTCTCAGGTGGGAAATAGCTCCCCTACTATGAATGGCACGTGGGCAACATAAATTGGGTTTAAGACTTGCAAGAGTTCTGAGATGGAATCGAATCCCTGGAAAGCAGGCCCATGGAGAAAAGAGATGCTGTTTTATCATCACAGCTGATTTCCTTCACAGCTAGACTAGAGAGAGAGAGAGAATGGAAAGTTAAGAACTCAGGAGATAGAACAACCTCTTTTATTTTAAAAGGCATTAAAAGAAATAGAGCCTCAAACTCTGGACTACATCAGAGGATGGAGCCTGAGAAATGCTTCTTAAGTATTTCTAAAGCTTTCTTAGTTTAATGCTCAAGGTCTTCTCTGTTCCCAGTTCCCTTTTAGTCTCCTCCAGCTCCTTTCGCATTTTTCTAACATCCATATCACACTGCAGCTTCACCTTTTCTGTTGCTAGCTTGCTTTCAAAATCTTGCTGCTCTTTGAGTTCCTTCAGTTCTTGCTGCAAATCCTTCTGGTCCAAATCCAAGTGCAAGATTTCCTGCTGCAGTTCCTCCGTCAGACTTCTGATGGTTTCTGATTTCTCACACAGATCCTGTTTAAAAGCTTCAGTCATGGAAACTGTTTCCAAGTGGTGCCTTTGAATTTGCTGCAAGTGGGCAGCTGGATGCAGGTTATCTTTTCAGGAATGGCTCAGCTCCTGTTTGGTTTGTTCAAATTCTGTCACTAATCTTCTTCATTCAGCTTTCTGTTCTCCCAGCTATGCGTTTAGAAAGGGCAACAGAAGCTTTAAAGGGATGCCTCTCGAATGCTGCTTGTACTTTTCTCCTCTTCAAGCCTCACATTCCTTTGCATTTCTTCTGTTCCTGCTATGCTTCTTCAGAGGCATCTAAATTAGCAGAGTTGCAGCAGGAAGAAGCCCCTTCTGTCCCTCCTCTGATTTTTCCATGTTTGCCTCCTTAAGCTTGGCTGAGGATCATTCGTAATTCGTGTGAAAGGAGACCCTTTCCTTTGTAAGCGCTGGTCTTGAAATGTCCCAGACACCAAATTGTAAAGTTCTGCAATTCATTTTTCTCTCCAGAGCCAGCTTTTCTCAAATTTATTTATTTTTATTTTTATTTATAGCATTTTTATGCCTCCCTGTTGCAGAAATCAGGAGTTCAGGTCATGGTCTTCACTACGGAAGAAGTCTTCCTTACTGAATTGAAGAGAAAACAGTCTCTGCAACCAGCATTGATCCAGACCTGGCATTTCAAGGGCTTCCAGTCCGTAGGAAATAAAAACAAAAGCATGAAATCAGCACCAGATACGATATATTCAGGACTTGCTGATAAACTTGCTGGCAGTTTTTATTTATTTTAATGTTATTTTGCCATCTTTCACCCTCGAGGAATCTGCAGGCAGCGTAGATCAATTTTTTGAAACATTAGCACAGTACAGTAATGGCATTATTACAAGTTAGGAATGGTTAAAAACAATTCAGCTAGCAAACAGACACCCAAGCCCATCTATGTTACAAAACCATCAAATTTAACCTGCTTAGCTGACCATTTTGATCTGGCGCCAGAATGGAAAGGACAGTGTGCTCGTATTTCCCTCAGGAAGTCAGGGAAGGGGGCCACAACAGAGAAGACCTGCCTTTTGTAAATGCATACCAGATGCACAACGCCCTCGGCTGGCGCTCACTGCAACTTGCGGGATTTATTTTTGGTCTAGCCATGCACAGGTTTGTGCCGTAAGGTGATAATCAGCTCTTTGGATTTGGCTTGGAATAAAGCCATTTATTTTCAGGTCCTTGAGGACATGCTTTCCAATGCTAATAAAAACAGGCATTCTCGTAACACCCCTGAGCCACTGGAAATCTGCTTTCTATAGTCTTCGCCCTTGACCTGGGGATCAGCTGTCTCCCTCTGGTTTAAAAGCCAGAAGGGCAAGGGCTGGCTCGGCATTTGAGAGACTGGAGGAAAGTGCCTGG